CCCTGCTTCAAACCTTCACGAGTGTTGCACAGAATAAGAGCCAGCACTTCCACAGTCTTCCCTAGCCCCATCTCATCAGCAAGTATTCCTCCAGGCCAGTCCACCCCAGCCAGAGGAAACTCCCTGATTAGACTGCAGAGATATAAAACAATCAGAACATAATTTTAGTACACAAAACTACACAGTCTAACAGTTAACTGCCTTATTCAGGCATTTCTATAGTGTTCTTGATGGAGATGCACAGATGTCAGCATTCAATGCCAATAAGCCTAATGCTTAATAAAGCATCTATTACAACTTTCTTACCAGCCAGTGTACGGGTTATAAAACAGTTTCTTTCCACACATTGTAATCACCTCCCTCCAAAGGAAATGCAGAGTTTGTTCTGTTTGTGAAAGACAGAAGAGCATAACATTTAATTTGACCTAATCCTGTCAAGATATAGGCTCAGAAAATATAAAGCAGACTGGCAGGTGTGACAACTTTACCTTGTGAGGCTTCAGTCTTGTATCTTTCTCTCCTCAGCATCCAGTTGACAGCCTGGCTCTGGTAAGGCCGCAACACTGGGATGAGGGCTGGATGCTGTACGTCAAAGCTCTGGCCCTGAACTTCTCTCTGGTGAAGGTGCCTGACATAATCATAGAGTTCCTCCACATTCTGCCGCTCGAGATCAGTGTCACACTCTTCCTCTTCATTTTCCATGATCTCTGCAACGGGAAATGTGACATTTGTTTTCATACGAACATGAAAACGTCTCTAATGCTAGAGCATAAAGGGATGCTGAAGCACAGACTGCAAAGGCAATAAAAACTGTGCCTAATATGAATAGGGAAGAAAGGCTACCAGGGATAATGAAGTCATAGAACAATTCCATCAGTTTCTGCAGGAGCTGATTGGCTCTTCTTATACGCCCATTTCCTTCACTGAGAAATTCCGGCCGTCCCAACCCAGACTCCAAAAGAAAAATCTTCAGCTGCACCAGAAACATAAACATTCACATATAAGCCTTCTGAGTGACTTCCATTGTTATAGTAAGTAGTTCTATGCATATAAAGACATTTACCTGAATCCAGACCAAACTTTTGTCCTCAGCTATTAAACAATGAATAAAAAGTCTAGCTAAATCAAAAAAGTAATCTGTAATCTACTAAAGACCGAACAACCAGTACTCATACGTAGATGAAACTTAAACCTTAAAGGAATAGTTGTGAATGTAGTCCATCAGCCAAAGCCCAAAGTTATGAGACTAACATAAGTAACAAGTAATGGAAGCTTGTACCCAAATAATTAGCACTGTGCAAACTGCATAGCTAAATCGTCACACATTTTGCCTTGAACTGAGTCGAGTTTTAAGTGATCTTTAATAGGCTTGCTGTCATACTTTAACATGCTGTTTATAAAATGTTTTATATCTTTACAAATGGACAACAGTGTGTCACATAGCTAAAAATAGTACGATCTGCATTTTTCTGTACTTTTATCCATTTTATAGATAACAATATTACACACAGCGCAACAAACCTACATAGGCAAGTCTATTTGAGGAGTAATAAGAAAATCATGTAAACCTCATTTTTCAGTGCACTCTTCCTTTTAAGGGTAATCTGGCCTAAAACAGGCATTTAATATGTTACTTGTCATAACATGTAATATTTTGTAGCACAGCATTGCGTCTCTCAGCCTCATCAAAACTAAGGACAGAATTAAAGATTTCTATGCTTTCTATGTTGTTATACATCAATGATTTTTTTAAACTACAAAACCCACCATGCATTATGTAAATGCATCATGCAGCTATCTGAAACCCCCACAGATTTTTGTTGGGTTTAAAACAACAATCTGCACTCTCAAGTCTCTTGTTTCACCATAGTAGGAGGCACGGAGGCATGTTTACAATAGATGTAGCAATGGTCACATTTTTCAGTTTGGCCGAAGTGTTCCTTTAAACACACGTTATGCCCATACATACAGTTCCACAGCCGTGGTGTACATTACAAACTTAGCAAACAAATACCTTTACTGCTCCATCTCCAGACAAGTAGCATAGCTGTATGACCTTCCTTTTCTGTAGCCAGTCCAGATCCTCCAGTGATAATCCACCAAAGGAACATTCAACAGGACAGTTTCTCGGCTCATCCAGTGTTGTACTGGGTATTTTTAGTGACAGTACATTACCAGTTTGCTGCAGGCAAAAGGTAATGTCTGCAAGCTCAATGGGAACGTTTGGATACAGATTAAATTCTCCAATCAAGGCTTTCCACACGAGGTCCAGGGTAGACAAGGGCACCACATTAAGCTCAGTGGTGTCTGGGGATGAATCCTGGAAGGAGCACTCTGGTTCCTCCTCTTTCTCCACAGGTGGTGGGAAGAATTCGCCAGCCACATCTCGACTGGGCTGCTCAAGCACAGGGTTAGGCTGGAAGCTGACAGACGGCTCAGAAAAGATCTCATCACCCTCAATATCACCCTCGTTCCTTCTGTCCTCGTGCATGTTCCAATTCAGCTTCTTCTTGGCCTCCTCGTCCATACGGACGGGTGGCGCGCGTTTCCTTCTGCTGCTCATGGTGGAAGCCTACAGAGATGGGGGCAAATGGGATTCAAGAATAAAGCCTTCACTGCTCCTGCTGTTTACAGGTATTACTACATGTACACAACAGAATATTTGTAATCACTCCCTGTTTACCTTGGTAACACTGTTAATGCCGTTATCTTTAAATCAACTATTCATTGTTAATACATTTTTATAACTCTCATATCAATCAATAACAATCTGGTTTATCAATTACGGCTATGGTTGCCACCTGTTCAAGATTTCTCTGGATTGTCCAGGTTTTTGGCTGCCTGTCCAGGCAAAAAAAATATTTCATTCCTGGAATCCAAGCATTTTCACACGTTAATATTTCTTCTTCTTCTTTTTGTCCAGTCAAGCCATTTGTACACAAAGAATAGATTTGATTAGTGCAGATTACCCCCAACGTGTGAACAATTGTTTTTAAAGTTGCACTGTTTGGTGACATGTTTAGGCACTAAGCAGTACTTCAGTGTGATAACTGAGAAGATTAGATTCTGTAGCTTAACTGACGTCTGTCTCCTTTAGGCTACAGCGTAAGCCAAACAAATCAAGCCGCCGATTTACTGTCCAGGTATTTTACAGGATCTGAGGTGGCAACCCTACCTAAATATATTACCAGGTCACATCGTCTGTAGTTACATTACAACGTGACACGTTATAGGACACACGTGATAATCAAATTTCACATCTAAATACACATTCTGACACAAAACGTGTACACACAAAGTCCGACACAAAAACCTGAAGAGGCTTCCTGTATCCGTTCAGGGAAACTGAGGTGAAACTTGACTGAATGTGGTTCAAAGCATTCAATCAATATTAGAGAAGCTTTCCACAGTTAGCTGCTGTGTTAGACACCGGTAAACAGATACTAACGCCTTACGATATAAAATAAGCATGGGCCAATATTTACTCAATTGCTGGGCAACTGTCCTCCTTGCAGAAACAGAACAAATGTCAGAAAATCACTATCTTGCGGCTCCAGAGTCTTTATTGTGGTCCAATTCCCTCCAGCAATCCGCCATGTTTAAAAAAACAGGAAATGATGTGTTTAGGGACCGAAACAAAGAGCGGAGATGTTCATACTTTGGCCGCTAGATGTCGCCGCAGGACAACTTTTACAGCAGCTCCGCACCAAGATACTCGGAGATTAGCTTAGTTTATGGGTCAGCTCAGCACATTACTTCTTAAAACGCGCGTTTTTGCCGGTTGCAGCTCTGATTTAAAATGTGTAGTAAAACATGTCGCCATTTGTCTTCTAATTTGTTTTATGTTCCTGTGAAGGGAATCAGGAATCACACCCAGTGAGTGTCGAATCCTCCCTCTCACAGCATCAGAGTGGCCAGATTTGACAAGGACTGTTTCTCCGACCTGGGACAGAAAAAATACTTAGTACTAAGAATACTAAGCACCAAGTAGACTCGAATACAATGTAAGGTAATGAAGATGATAAATAAATAAATGAATATATCAAAAAGAATTTCATACATCATGTATTTTGGAGTTTTTGAAGAATATTTGTTTCGAAATAGTTCACCATAGTAGAGATTTTCACGGGGGGCTCAGTGTGTTTCAGTGGGACTCTCACACTGCGGCTGATGTGACCCGTTTTCAGATGCAGTGATGAGATGAACAGGAGGGGGGCATCGCGCAGTGAAGAGTGAACTGCAGTTTGGGACTGGAAGGTTTCAGAGGACGATACGAGATGACTTCTTCTGCTACTCCAGGTAAGCTTTATACGTGTATAATGCCGTGCGTTGATCATTTAGATCAACGAGAAGGCGGTGCATGTCCTCAGTGGTCGGATGCTTTGATTTTGGTTTTTGGGTTACTGGCGTGGATCTTTCGCAACCTGTGTGTTACGGATTTTTTGGTGTTTAATTGAGCCATTTCATAAAACATGTTTCCATCTGTGGTTTTCAGGCAACATTTAACGTTAGAAGAGGACTATATGATAAACATTACAAGTACAAGAATGGTCCAACTTAGATGCATAAAAAAGTTATTTTCACCTGGATAGTTTGAGACTGGATGCTGTCCATGGTGCTGATTTACTTGCTTTAATACGTTCTTAATAAATTTTAAATGGGTTGTAAATGATAGTCTTTATGCACTACACATTTTTGTGATTTCTGTGCTTAAACACACTTAATTGAACACACTCATTATCAAGCCCTTCATAAGCTCATAATCTGTTAGATCAGCGATAACACAAAAATGTGCAATGCAGAATTCAGATTAGTGAAAAGTTTCTTATACATTTGTATAGTTGATTGTTCTCCTGTGTTCGCAGGATATTTGATGATCTTGAGTTGATCTTGAACAATGGCTGATACATTAGACATGGACGTGACAGATCCCTGCGTCGCTTCTTCTCACCTACAGGCCTGGCTACAGATATGATTCAGCAACCGAAGCATTTAAGACCATGTGGAGTATGATGAGAATGAATTTGATCAGCGTTTTATTCCTGTCTCTGTTATTGCTTTGTGCATCAGCCAGTAACATATATGAGAGGTCACTGGTGCCCAGAGCTGCGTCCCGCTCAGTGGCCCGAATGGACGGTGATATAATTATTGGAGCCCTGTTTTCTGTCCATCATCAGCCGTCGGCAGAGAACGTGGCAGAAAGAACGTGTGGAGAGATCAGAGAGCAGTATGGGATTCAAAGGGTGGAGGCAATGTTCCACACACTGGACAGAATTAACTCTGATCCCAACCTTCTACCCAACATCACTCTGGGCTGTGAGATCAGGGACTCTTGCTGGCACTCCTCAGTGGCCTTGGAGCAAAGTATTGAGTTTATAAGGGACTCACTTATTTCAATACGTGATGAAAGGGATGGATCAAAGTGGTGCATTGATGGGACTCCATCCAGTCAGCCACCTGCCACTAAGAAACCCATTGCAGGTGTGATTGGACCTGGCTCCAGCTCAGTGGCAATCCAGGTGCAAAACCTGTTGCAACTTTTTAACATCCCTCAAATCGCCTACTCTGCCACTAGCATTGACCTGAGTGATAAAACTCTCTATAAGTATTTCCTCAGGGTTGTGCCATCTGATACTCTTCAAGCCAGGGCCATCTTGGACATTGTTAAACGGTACAACTGGACTTATGTATCGGCTGTTCACACTGAAGGTGAGTAAGCAACTGCATGCCTTATCTGAAAATCACACCGAAAAAAACGTAATGCTTTGTATGTATCAAGTTCAAGTGTGTAATTTCCACATACAGTTGTATGCAAAAATGAACACCCATGGTCAAATGACATGTTTTGTTGATTTTATAATTCAAAGTAAGTTCCAATAGAAGGAACATATATAAATATAGTATTTTTCTGCAAGTTCCAGTGCACAATTTCTATGTACTTCAGTTCAACATATTGGAAATAAATATGAATAAATACATTTAAATGTGACATAACTTTTGCCGTAAGCCACATTTTATGTTTTATTTCCAATATATTAAATTCAGCAAGTAAACAGTAATTGCACATTAAAATATCTGGAAATGTGTTTCCTCTAGAGAATGAAAACATGCATACTAGCATATATTATATCAACACAGCTATGTTGACAAAATATAATTTATTCATGCTTTACACATTTGAATCAAGTAGATTCAGTGCATTACTTTTTTTATTGTGGTTTAAACTAGCACTTACACTTTGGGTCAAGCTGGACTTATAGATCATAAAGCAACAGTGTAGGTGCTAATTTAACTCTGGGGATTGTTCCATGAAGTATGCCTTCTATATACAGTATCACCCTAGATCAGTACAATTATCATATTCATGTCTATTAACTAAGTTTTATGGAGTGCTGTAGTCTTTTTTTCCTCAAATTCTCTGGGACTACTATTGCAGAGAGATGAACGAATTGATGTGAGTCATTTTGTGCTAGTACTTCCAAAAGTGCCCTACATAGTGATGCAGACAGCTTGGCAGGTAATGCATCAGCCTGTCAGAACTGCCCAAAGAGGGGTCTCTTAGTAAACAGCTGCATTTAAGAGGACATTTAAAAATACCACTCTCTTCTGTCTTCATTGTGTTGGAGCTATGCAGACAACAGTCATCATCTCAGTTAAATAACCAGACTAAAATCGCTTTCATTCACTTTTCCCTGTTCATTGGGTTGATCATAAATGCTGATTTTAATGAGTAAAGAATGTGCTGAATCCCAAAGCATGGGAAATAACTGAACGTATGAGCTTAAAGCTGCTTCAGAGAAAGGAGTTTTAGACATAATTCTTATTACATAATTGATTCATATAAAATTAATAGTAGGTGTTTGTTTACTTTTTATTTTCTATATCAGCACTGCTCTCATCATTAGCTGGTAGATTTTTTGATAGGCTGTGATGTCTTGTTGTACACCAGCTTTTCTCAAGGTTAATGATAATTGTACTAAGGTTTTATGTCACTTAAGACTAACTAATTTGCTGAAGAGTCTTTCAGAAAATCAAAATATTACTATGGATACTTGAGGGCAGGCTAAAATGTAAAGGCCACTGCTTTCTCCAATGTGCTTTAGGTCAGCTGATAGGAATTAAACCCTTAGAATATGCAGTTGTTGCCAGCAATGACAAAAGTATGGTGTAGCTTGATGTTATTTATTTCTCACTTGTAGCTCATTGAAATGATGGGCAAAATTCTGTTAAAAGTGCAGTTTATTAGCTTTCATTTTGTGTTTGTAAGCAGACAAGAAGATATATTTATTATGATGTGAATTTGTTAGAAGTGAGCGTTGAGCGTCTTGTTTTGTGGAAAGAAAAAACATCTCTTACAATTTTGCCATGTTTTTGACGTTCCTGCAGGTGCAGACTTGAACCTGTCAACAATTACATTTGAATAGTACAGCAAAACTCTTGACTTTTAAAGGTTAATAAAGAGTACTAATTTTGATGGACCACATGTTTCAGAGTCTCTGGTATTGGTTTATTTCTCTTAGGCAACTATGGGGAGAGTGGTATGGAGGCCTTTAAGGAGCTGGCATCTCAGGAGGGTCTGTGCATTGCCCACTCTGACAAGATCTACAGCAATGCCGGAGAGAAGCACTTTGACAGGCTGCTGAGGAAGCTGAGGGAGCGGCTGCCTAAAGCCCGTGTCGTGGTGTGTTTCTGTGAAGGCATGACTGTGCGCGGCCTACTTATGGCGATGAGACGATTGGGTGTGGCAGGAGAATTCCTCCTTATCGGAAGGTGACTATCGTTTCACTCTACTAATAGACTACATACAGTATTGTGCAAAAATCAGAGACACCCTTAATTTATTTAATTAAAACATCCATTAAGTCCAAGTTTTTTATTTTCCAGGGTCAGGAAACAACACAGGCAACATATTTTAATGGAAAAAATTACACAGAAGCTTCAATAACTACATTTAACATTTTTCAGTATTTATTATGTCCACCTTTTGATTTTATCGAATTTTATCGAAAACACTACTTAAAATAAGTAAAACATCTCTAGCTGAATTCTTAATAGGTCAAACAATCTTATAATATGACATTTATCATGGTTTCACTTGCTAGGATATCATTTTTTGAAGTGCATTCAGTTGTTTTATTAGGATTCATGCAATATTCAGTAGTAATTAAGGGTTCATTAGCACTGGTTAAGTCAATAAGTTAGTTAAGTGAATGTCCGTCCACTCTAAAATTCACTGCAGTAGCCCAGCACAAGATTGAATACAATAATCTTTACCTCCTGAGGGTAAACAGAATATTCCAACATCCTTTTTTAAACATTCTCTCATGCATAATACATCCACCCTTAGCTGTCGTCCTGTGTCAGATCATAGTGAAGGATGCTTGTGGAAGGCAATAACCTGTCTGCTGGACGAGGAAATGGAATCCGAAGCTGTTCTAAGCTTTTCCTCTTTTCATTATTTCACAGTTCAGAGATACAGAGAAACGCTCCTCGAGAGACATGAATTTAAGCCTTGATACTTTCTTAAATTACAGACCACTAGAGAGAGAAATTAAATGATAAAGAAATGACAGTAATTTCAGTGCAGTGATGCAGGTGGTTTCACATTCACGAGCTTCTGAAGTAAATGGAATATTGTTCTTTGACAGACTCGTCTCACTGATGAGTCGGCTACCCCTCTTGTTGAGACGAAGTATTCTTTTTCTTCTCGCTTGCTGCCTGTGGAGTCTCTGTGGACTGAAAAAGAGAACATCAATTGGCCAAGGCTGTTCTATTCTGGGTCAAGGAGAGTGTTTCAAAAGAGGCTAACTCAAAGCTGTGCAGTAAAAGCACCAGTGACACCAGTGGTTAATTAGATTAGCTATAAAAGTGACTTAAACCAACCAGGTATTGTTTTTGTTTTACATATCATCAATGTCTAAACAAACCTTGAATCACCTTAAAATTTCAGTCTTGGAAGTTGGTTGCATTTTATGCTTCTCACAATCCTTATTTGAATCCACCTGTGGATTTTCATTTTATCCTCTCTCTCTCAAAGATTTAAGTACTGTTTATCTGATGGTGGCAGTTTTTGGTGGTCTACAAAGTCTTGCACAGTTGTTTTCTCTGTATCTTTTAATATATTTTAATAATTTTTTGAACCTCCTGTTTTTTTTTCACTTATTTTTCTTTGACTTTCCCTTTCTTCTGCAAGTGGATTGTTTTATATCTAATCACTGGAAAAAATGGTCTCTGACTTTTGCACAGAACTGTAAAAGATTTTACTTAATTTTGGACCATTTCTTTTGGCCTATTCATCATGAAGTGGTCATGCAATGGTAAGAGCAGGTTAAAAAAATCGAGTTGAGTGGTTTTGAAGTGACAGCAACAAAAAGGTAAATAGGATGGTGACTACTGTCTTCAGAAGAGTCTAGATCTACAGAGTGTATGGGGTGTCCAGCTCAGGTTCTGGAGGGCCAGAATCCAGCTCACTTTGGTTATTTCTCTGCTCAAACACACCTAATTCAAGTCATCAGTTGATGACCTGGTTGGTGTATTAGAGTTGGATTAACGTGTGCTGGACTTCCAGAATCTGAAATGAGCTCCCCAGGTCTTATTCATTTTGAGTGCACAAGGGTCCAGATTTTCCTAAAAACACCCTGGAAGGTTGAATTCATGGCACTTTAAACTTGTAATTAGCTGGAACACAACAGCATCAGTTGTATGAGGTGAATTGTTGCCTGCATGCTATGAACAGGCACCTAAGAATAGGCCATTCTTGGCATGCATTACAGAAAGGATGCTGGGAGACAGATGGCTCTGGTGGCACAGAATAGCCACTGAAATATTCCTTCCTTACAAAACCAAAACCTTCACCCATACTGAACTAATGCCTGAACTTTCCACTCATGATCACTACAGATCATAGAGGTGAGCTACAGTGATGACTAATGATGTCCAGTTTCATCTATTAAAAAGTCTCTATACAGTACAAGGAGACCCTGAGAAGGCTTCACATCTGCTGTGTGGGAAACACACCGATTAAAGTATTGTTTAGTGTGCATTGAATAAGGAGCACCTGTACAGCTAAGTTGAATCCTGAGAAGGAAGGACTTCTGAAAGAACCCCAATAGTTTCGCACCTAGTTTAAATCATGCTTCAAGGCCACTTCATAAAGGCTTTGGATGTTAATATCAAAGCCCTGACAAAATTTAATATCAAAGATGGATCCTCTATGACAAAGGTGTCCAATCTTATCCTCAAAAGCCGGTATGGTTGCAGGTTTTCATTCCAAACAAGCAGCAGCATGCCTGATTCTACTCGTTTAATTAATTACTCATGAGGTAAGTGATCATGTGAGCTCCTGCCTTGAAGGACTGAAAACCTGCAGCCACACTGGCCCTTTGCGGATAAGATTGGACACCCTTGCTCTTTGAGAATATATGCATATAACCATTTTACAACATTGAAAGCCTTTTTCTACCCAAGGTCCCCTGTTATTCATTTGAGTACAATCTTTTGTTGTTCAACACATAAGTTCCTCTTCACAGAAACCTTTCTAAACCAAGCTAAATGATCAAGAACATACTTATTCTAAAACATTATTTACATAATGTTTTAGAATAAATTCATTTCCACCTTTTAAGAGTACAGTAGGTGGTTGGATTGAAAACTTGTTCAAGGCCTATTTCTCATAATAATCCATGGCCTTGTGCCTCAAAAGCTCTGAGAAAGAGCATTCTCAGGTGAAGTTCCATGGTTTCAAAAGAAAGGAGTGCGTGCTGAGTTTGTTCATAAGCTTGTGCTAAACTAGGTCATTTCACTCAAGGGTGTCAGTGTTTTTGCTCATGTTGCTCAGGCGTTGCAGGTGAGAGTCTGAAAAGGAAGCTGACAGTAATTGGGAGGCTAATTAGACTCTGTTCGACCTGCTTCCTTTAGTGACGGCTGGGCAGACAGAGACGAGGTGGTGGAGGGCTATGAACAGGAAGCTGTAGGAGGCATCACTGTGAAGCTTCAGACCGAGGAGGTCACGTCTTTCGATGACTATTTCTTGAAGCTGCGCCTAAATACAAACACGAGGAACCCGTGGTTTGCTGAGTTCTGGCAACATCGCTTCCAGTGCCGCATCCCAGGACACTCTCAGGAGAACATGAACTACAAGAAGAACTGCACAGGTGAGGGCGATGAGGAGACAGGAACGTGTTTTCACTGCAAGCCATTAAAGTATGAGTATACATGTGAAAATAAGAGATCTAGCAGTAAACCTCATGGAAACACTTTACTAGCAGGGTTCATAAGGCTACATGACACCTACATAAATCCCTCATAACAACTGACATAGACCTAAACAGTTATAAAACTCATTATTTCAATACGTGTCATTTGTCATAAATGTTGCATTTTCCAGCTTTAATGTCAAGTTGACTCAACAACCATATCAGGTGGATTTTTTTTTTATTAAGTTGTGTCATGACACTTTTTTGTAGCTCAGTGTATATCACAGTGACATAATACCAATAATATGACATGGTTTGCCAAGTCAAGCTGGTTGAACAAAAGTGAAAATTTCCTGTTGCCCATAGCTAAAGTGAGTTTATGTCACATAATGTATGCAGTTGCAAATGTAATGCATACATGCATAGTGTATAAAGTTGCAAAGTTATTTGGGTAACACTTTCTATGAATGTCACCTTTGTAAGCATCTATAAACACATTCATGACATGTTATAATGCATTCATAAGGCATTAAAACATAGCTATAAATATTTATTAAAATGCATTATACGTTATAGCCATGTTTATTATACATTATGAATTGTTAACATAATACATTATAAGTACTGATCATAACAAATTATAAGAGCTCATAAGCCGTATTTGTCCGCTCTAAGTAAAGTGAAGTGTACTGTACTAAAGCCTCCTCCAGTGTTAAGAGTGAGGCTTCGAGTTGAAGTATTTACTGAAGGATTTACTGAAACAGTAAAACATACATAATAAACCACATTACAGGCTTCAAATGTCAGATTTTAAACTAGTGATGCCATCAGGGTTTTACCCAGTGTGGGAAAGGTAATGTACAAAAGCGTTAGCTTGGTATTTGTCTTTACGCTCTCCAAGCTGGGACTGACTTCTTTGGCCCTGACATTATAACATGTTATTAACACTATTTATAATGCATTATATTATCAATTCATAATGTATAATAAACATGGCTATAAAGTGTAATTCAGTGTAATTCTTTTTTATAAATATTTATAAACATGTTTATAAATGCTTACAAATGTGACATTCATAGAAAGTGTTACCGTTATTTGTTATAGCATCCTACTCTAAAAAAATGGTACATGATTTTATTGTGTCATGTGGTTGCACACAAAGAACATATTGCTATGTGAACACTATTGCTTTCTTTAAATGTACTTGTTCTGGCAATTATTGTGAGAATGTATTACACCTTATTTATGTGCAACCTTTTTACACATTTTAATCATGTCAGTTAAAAGCACTGTTTTATTCACTGTATGTCATTCTGGCCAAAAAAGTATCATGACACCAGCCAACATCAGAAAAAAATTAAGGGTCGCTTCACATACAGCTGTATGCTGAAGTTTGAACACTTTAGGTCAAATTTCATGTTTTGTTGATTTTCTAAGTGAATAAGTACACATTCTCTACAGGGATCAAAATTTTAGATTTGAGTGCACAGTTTCTGTTTTGTTTTAAAATATTGGCAAAAAAATATATAAAATATAAAATGTGCCATAACTTTTGCATATGATCATAGGTATTGTGTCAACTTGTCTTCAGAGTTGACAAAAGCAGCCTTTATGACAGCCAGTTGAAATAAGCCTTTATAAAAGTTTATGCGGGTTTATGTTAGCTGTAATGATTACAGCTTATCATTGTTGTTGTGCAATCTCCATTTTTGTTAATCTATTTCCATTATAGGTTAGAAAGGTTTGAAAGGTGTTAGAGACACAAGTTTATGTTCCGACAGTGATGTTATGTGTTATGTTATGTGTATGTTAAATGTCATGTAGCCTTATGAACACTGCACAACACATGTAAAAATTATGGTTCTTCAAGGGTTCTTTAGAAACGAAAATGGTTCTATATAGAACCATGAACACTCAAAGAACCCTTTGAATGATTAAAGGGTCCTTTGCATCCAGAAAGGGCTCTTCAGATTGATAGAGAATGTGCAGATGGTTCTATATAGAACCTTTTGGAAAAGGGTTCCATATAACACCAAAAAGAGTTCTTCTATTGTTACGATGTCAGGCTTGTTACAATAGAAGAACCCTTTTTTGTGCTATGTAGAGCCCTGTTCAAAAAGGTTCTATATAGAACCATCTACAGTACATTCTCCATCAATCTGAGGAGCTCTTTAATGATACCAGGAACCCATTAATTGTGTAAAGGGTGTTCATGGTTCTATATAGAACCATTTTCTTTACTAAAGAACCCTTAAAGAACCATCATTTTAATGTGTACAACAAAGTGTTAGCAACCTGATTAATACTAGTAATGATACAATAAAAGGTACCAAAAAGCCTTTTTTAGAGCGATGCCATAGTAGAAGTGCTCTTGATTCCCTAAAGAACCTTTCAGTTGAGTGTTTTCAATTGAGTTATACATTTTCCATTGAAAAGCTCTATAAAGAACCAAAAGTAGTTCCTCAATGGCATCGCTCCAAAGAAATCTTTGGATAGAAAGTCTGAATACATCTTTTAAATGTTTTCATTACACAATTTTTTCTTCTTTGCTCTTTTCATATTTTGAAACATTTTCTCTGCTGACTGAAAAGGTGACCTAGGTAAATTGTTTTTGTTTTGTTCTTTTGGTTCTTCAGCTTAATGAATTACACTATTAATTTCTACTCGCAAACATTAGCTTATGCATTAGATTATGTTAAACAGTGCTCAAGCATGGTTTCAAAGTCACAAATATTTTGTTCCATCTGCAACTTCACAAACTGCAAAATATATTTACGTTTCAATTTAAGGTAGCTAAAAAACAAACGAGTGAGCTGAAGATATATTGAAGGCAAACGTAAATATATATAATGAGAAGCATGCAACTGTTACTGTCTGATCTGATTTGACTGGTTTTTATGTTGGTATTTACATTTATTTCCTATATGTTTATTTTTCATTACTTTGTGTAAGCGCTGAGCTCAAGTCATAATGTTTTCATTCTCTTGTTTTTTCTCCTGTCAAGAGTTTAACATCGTCTCCAACATCTTCTCTCCATCAAATATCATGCACTTGTACTTGTAAACCTTCCCTAAAGGATAGGAACTTAAAGCACATTAACAAATACCTTTTATGAATGCTTACACAGAGAAATAGTCATAGTCTGCTGTTCTGTTACCTCTATTATTTTTTTGTCTAGAGCTACGAGATGGTAAGTAAATATTTCTGAATGGATAGCTTGGAGGCACCTTCAGCAATATAGATAGAGGTCAACTGATATCACACAATCATGTACTATATCTTTAAATCATTATATCATCATGGTCATTAAGGTGTGCAAGTACGTGCCTGTCATTACTGTTGATTGTTGATGCTGATAATCATAATATTAATAATACAGCACGAAACGGAACAAACGCAGTGTATCGGTAGACCTCTAATATATATAAAGTTATTGGGATGTTTTATGGACTGCGATAATAATCAGTGGGCACTTTGTATTGTAGTATTTGATTTTTAGATCCCAATAACATTCTCTTTCTTTATCACACACCTACTGGCTTTGCTGCATGTTCCACTGAGGGAACGTTTCAGGCCACCATGCACCTTTGGTTGCTTGTGCACAGATTGAGACCGAAATTATAGAGTTCAGAATAAAAACGTTAAGTGTGAATGTATTTTTAGAATTTCTGTAGGTAATGCTGACCCTAATCCATATATCTCCTTACTATTTAAACTTGACCACAAAGGTATATTGACATGATACTGTAAATATACAAGAATATCAGCTAGAAAAATATCCTACTATGCAGTTTGGCATAAAACAACAGATGGGCAATCCCCCCCCCCCAAGATTGGCTTCTCTGATTTGATTGCTCAAACCTGCAGCAAAGGTGGTTCAGGCACCTGGGGGAGGGACCTGGATTACCCCACTCTGCATACAACAGAATAACAGTATCATATTTTTACCGACTACCAATGGGATCGCAATACCTGCTGTCTTCCTTTGCATGTCATTATACAAGAAAATCAAAGAGCAGCTTCAGCAACTAATGTTTTTGGGCTCTTTTGTGTTTTTCATACATAAGTTCCAATATAATAGTTGTTTTTCTACTAGCTTAGAAGTACAGTTTGTGTACAGTGATGACCAAAAATAAGCCATTAAGCATAAGTACAAGATATTCATTTTTCAGCATTAGAAAACATACATTTAACAGAAAATGAAAATTACATGAAAGTATAATATTAAATATAATATCAATTTTATCCATCCTTTATCTTTAATAACTTTGTTCTTTTCTGTAGATTGCTTTCAGGTTTTCAAAAAAATCTGCAGGGATATTTTTTTCCATATATCCAAAGTACAGTCTTAGAAGTTTGTTGCATTTTTCTGGAGATATTTCTGAGGAGATTAGATATAAAATAACCCACTTGCATAAGGAAGGAGAAAATCAAAGGGAAATAAGTGAAAAAAAATCAGTGAAAAAAAGGTCTGTGACTTTTCAGACTGAGACTGTTTGTCAGAAAGGAAGTGTAGCTGTCAAGAACCCTTACTGAGAAAAGGAAATCAAATAAAGAAGCTGCTGGTGTTCTTAGAACAATGTCCACACCAGAGCCCAGACCTCAACGTGTTTGACGTAACTGAAATAAGACTGAACTTTGGAGGTGTAGAAAAATATCCCTGCAAACTTCTTTAAAAAACTAAAGCAGTGTTCCCCAAAAAGGACACACACTTCTGGAATTTTCTGTTAAATATATGTTTTCTGCTTTTCTATGATTTTCTGAAAATTTCAGAATTTCTGAAAAATGAATAACATGTACTTGGTCTTTTTGACTGGAAATTAAATAAATGATACAGTGGTCTCTGACTTTTGCATAGTACTGTACATATAATAGGTTTTGTTATTAGCCCACAACAGCCACTAATTCCCCTTTGGATACATTCACCCAACCACAACATGCTTCAAAGTCACCTCAGTATACTTAAAGGAGAAAACTAGGAGCTTGACTCCATCAAGCAGTCTTTGCACTGTAAATAACATAATGACAAAGTGAAGACCTACCTTGCCCTCCATTTGTCCCATAATAAAAAATACATTGAAATAGCGTCTCCCAAATCTGGTCCCAGCATTCTTGTGCATTTTCCTTGCTCTACAACACACCTGACTAACACCAATTAGAGTAGGGGAAACATTATAAATATAAGTACAAAGGTTTGATAAGTGCTAACAATACTACATACTACAATATATGTAATCTTTTCTATTACTGTATGTAGTTTCTGCATGTTTTATTTAATGGGGTTTATAAGTTTGGAGCTCAGACAAAGGCAGCGTTTCTTACAAGCATGTCTTGGTTTAGTCTGTTGCACACTGCTTGCTGCAGCCCACTTAAATATGAACAGAGGACACAGAGGAAAGTGAAAGCCATGTCTTAATGAGAGCCTACTTATTTCAATATATTTTTTTCTCTATCTGCAAAACCATCAGCTATAATGCCTGACACTGCTTCCCGCTGGCTTGGTAAAGATCACAAGATCACAAGCAGTGATAGGGTGTCCTTGGACATTCTCTGTTTCTTTGAATTTGTACTCGCTCCTGAGCCATAGTGATTTTTATGGTTGGCAATAGTCATGTGGTAGATCCATTCTGATTCATGTGAGAGACAGGAAGAATGAGAACGAGAGTAAATTATTAATTTCCTTGCTCAATTAATAATAATAATGTTCATTACTAATTAAATTCTGAGTGGGATTGCAGAAATGGATTGCCTCTCCATGGCAACAAGCATGCTTTTGACAGTCTGTGTTAATACTGTCCTTTGATTCATGTTCCCACAGAAAGAAAAGAACTTTGTGTCCTGTTGCCTATAGCTCGGGTCTTTGGACACCCTATCATTACCTTTACTCTGCACTACACTGTGTCTTGAACTGTAGCATAATATACCATTGCTGAATTGTGTGGCCATATGAATGCTTTAAAGCACAGGTTTATGCTAGTTAAGTAAATTTGATTAAAATGCTCATTGAAATTATGTGCCTTGTGCTGCCAAAGAGTCCAATGAAAATTATGATGTAATATAAATAACCCTGAAAAGTGGAGGATCACAAGTGGTAATTTTCCATCTGTCTGGTTTGACTGTATTGGCAGGTTATGAGAGTCTGGAGGACAACTACGTTCAAGACAGTAAGATGGGTTTTGTCATAAATGCCATCTATGCCATGGCTCACGGCCTGCACGACATGCATCAGCACCTTTGTCCAGGCTACGTGGGCCTGTGCGAGGCCATGGACCCCATTGATGGCAGCAAACTGCTGGACTTCCTGCTCAAGACTTCATTCGCTGGAGTGTCTGGGGAGGACGTGTGGTTTGACGAGAATGGAGATTCACCTGGCAGGTCAGTCTTATTGAAGTATTTACACAAACAACCAAAGTAATTATTAATAACATTTAAAATATATGTGGACAAGAGCTGTTTAACCATTTTACTCTATAAACCTAGACATCTCCCATTCTCCCAAAAAGAATGGAAACTGCAATAAAGGCAGAGGGTAGACACAATAAACACTGAAAAAAATTTGGTATTATATTTAGTTATTGAGGCTCATGTGTAATTTTCTTTTTATTGTGCATTTTCTGATGCTGAAAAATGTGCTTGGCTGATTTAACTGGAAGTTAAATATATGAAAGGTGTTTTTAGAATTTTACAAAGTACTATTTATGCTGCACATACAGTATATATGCAATTAATTACATAGTGAGTTACATAATGAAAAGCTTTGCATTCTGTATCCATGGGGTTAAATCAGCTTTTTTTCCTATTTGTAACATGACAGTTTTTCTGTAAAACATACTTTGGGGACAACATTAAGTTTTCAGGAAATTCAAAGTATAATAAAATGTCTCCTATTTTGCTTATGAACACAAATTTGTTACCGATAGACCTTTTGAAAGAATTTCTCTGCTTCCTTATGCAAGTGGGTTATTTTAATATCTAATCTCCTCAGAAATATCTGCTACGAGTAAGAAATATTTAAATGAAATGCAAGCAGAACGTTTCATGTCCTGTGCACCATGGGGAACATAGAAGGTTCACTCATTTATTTTGTGATCAAAGACGTTTTTCTACAGAGCTTCTCAGTGACTGTGGTCTGTTGCAAAAAGAACTGTATTGTGGAGCTTTTCTTTTGAAGGAAATGCAGCGCTCTCTTCTTCTCTATCAGGTACGACATAATGAACCTGCAGTATGTGGAGTCTGGTGTGTATGACTACATTAATGTGGGCTCCTGGCATGAGGGCGTGCTGAGCATTGATGATTATATGATCCAGATGAACCGGAGTGAAATGGTCCGCTCTGTCTGCAGTGAGCCCTGCTCTAAAGGAGAGATCAAGGTAAGGATGGCATTTATTATACAGCCTTAATGTCCTATCTATGTTTATTTGGTTGGAAATAGGAAAAAGAAATATTACCTAATAGTCATAGTATTCATATGGATGACACTGAAAAAAGTGTCTCTCTCTGTCTCTCTCTCTCTCTCTCTAAATATATATATATATATATATATATATATATATATATATATATATATGTGTGTGTGTGTATATATATATATATATATATATATATATAAATATGCAAAAGTTTGAAGACTCCTGGTCAAATCACATGTTCTGTTAATTTTCTAAGTGAAAAAAGTTCTACAGAGAAAACACTTAAATGTAGCATTTTCAAATTTAAAACTGCAAATTTTAGTGCATATAATTTCTATTTATTTGCTGAATTTAAAATATTCTGAAATTACAAAAGGTGTCATAACTTTTGCGCAGTCCTTATTATGTGTGCAGAAATGTGTTCTCTGTAGAGGCTGTGTACATATTTTTACCTAGAAAGTCAACAAAACGTGTCATTTGACCAAAGGCATCCAAACTTTCATAAACAATTGTACCTCTCCACCATGAAAGAATTTAAAAATCTTTAAAATTGAAAAAGTTTAAGGCCAAAATCTGAACTCAAAACTACTGTAAAACAATGTCTCAGGCATCAGGCGGCACATTCATAACCATTTTATGTAATAACTGGCCGTGAGGTAGACATGTCAGGTTCTCATCACCACCACTGTGAACAATTCTGTCTCTTGAGTTTCTCTAGAACATAACATTTCACATCAAACCACTCCAAATGACTTTGTGTATAATTTTGCCATTTAATAATGCAGAAGTTTTGAAAAGTCTGTGTGATTCCCCTTTAGCAGTCACAATAAGAACAGTTAGAATCAGAACAGCATTCCCAACACTGGATTTTCTATCCACTGAAGGACACTCTAATGGGCATGTTCCCTGTCCTAGCTATACAGCCAACAGTAAATGACATAAATATTAAGATTTACAAGCTTTCAAGTGGTTTTGAAAGTCATCTTCATTAACCGATGGAAACATCTGCTTGATCTAAGTAAAAATGGCTTTATTTACATATGTATGGATGTCCACACTGTCATGGACCTGTTAATCAGTTTGTTGATGTGCAACTGAATGACAATAATTGTGCTTCTGCTGCATTTAAATGGGATTGGCAGGTGTGTTTCCTTCCTTCAATGTGTCCCTGCAGGTGATCAGGAAAGGGGAGGTGAGCTGCTGCTGGATCTGCACTGCCTGTAAGGATAATGAGTACGTCCAGGACGAGTTCACCTGCAAGGCGTGTGAGCTGGGCTGGTGGCCTGATGAAGAGCTACATGGTAGAGAAACTTCATCTCATTCTCCATGCCTTTCACACCTTGGGGCAAAGTCAACTTCCTGTAAACTTCAATAGTTTGAGTGATAACAAAACCTAAAGTGCAACAATAAAGTTATTATTTGAATAGCTGTTGCCCAGTGATAGCCATTGACTGCAAGTTGCATGACACTGCATAAAAATGAATGTGTCCGTTAATAATACCAATCACTACATTTACATGTATATACATTTTTAATGCATTTTCTATGTGTATAGAAGAGTGGAGCAATTGGGTCACTTACTTCTTCATCAAAGATAAGCGTTATTGGACGATTATAGTCAGTCTGGCCAGTTTTAGCAAACTGACATTCTACTTGAAGGTAAAATCTAAAGTGGTTTGGACTTTAGTCCTAATTCCTAATAACAAAAGATGATCCAGCCGAAAAAAACACAAACACACAGCCTCATATTGTGACTTGGCTTTTAGGGAGGCTGCTTTGTCCTATTTTCAAAAGGTTTCCCGTGACACCTGAAGGCCATTTATCATTTTTACAGATTGCTCTCGAAGTGCACTTGTGACAGACCTACTTCACTTCCTACTTCTCTGGCCTGTTTTCAAAGGTCTTCACTGATGTTCAATGTCAAAGCAACGCTAGTTCATTTTGTCTTAGCTATATGTATATACATGTTAGTTAAACACATGATGAACAGCATTTATGCTTTTAGAGATGTTTTTAATTATACAGTCGTATGCCAAAGTTTGGACATCCCTGGTCAAATTACATGTTTTATTGAAGTGAAAATAAGTGAACACTACAGGGAATAAATTTATGTGTAGTATTTTTCTGCAGATGTTAGTGCACAATTTCTTGGAAAAAAATAAACATACAACTCAACGTGCCATAACTACTGCACAGGCTACATCTTTTATTTTCCCCAATATGTTAAATTCAGCAAGTAAACAGTAAATTTGTATTAAAGTGTGCAGAAGTGTGTTCTCTGCAGAGGATATGTTGACTTACTCTCACTTAGAAAATCAACAAAATGTTTTTTTTGACCAGGGGTGCAAGAAAATTTTTCATACAAATTTGAATATAGATGGCTTAGTCGTTTATGTATATAAATCATGTGCCCAATGTGAAAAATTTCACAAAATTACGTTGTTGTTTAAATTTCAGATTTTTACCCAAATAAAAAAAATAATATATACTTATAATAAATACTTTAACCACATGAACCATTTTAAATCTCATAAACATGTTTATATGAAGCAACATAAAGATGATATATGTAGGCTTTATTACCGTGGCAAGATTCAGTACCTTTAGAGCGTTTGCTGGACACTGTATCCTCTCTCTTGTCGCAGTTTCTTCTCCTTCCTCTGGCCTGGCTCTGTCTTTCGGCCGGTCCCTTAGTGGAGAGTCTGTTTATTTTTAGTTGAACTGGAAACCTACTTTAGCACTTGGTGCATTTGAGAGCTGGTCACACTTCGATGGCCAATATTACAGCAAAAAGAGGCAAAACCAAGGAAAACGTCTGTGCCATTTTTCATTTATATCCTTTGCATTCATAAATTCATATAACAGTGTATGTTCAAATCAGTAACACTGCTGGAGTATATTTACATATTTATGTACTGGTATAAATTGTTAATGATTTAGTTCCTGTGCTGAGGGTTCCAAATGTATGTTGGCTCCATACTGCAATGATTTAGACTTTAAATTATACACAGACTTTAGGAGTAAAAGTGCAGCAAGGTTTTTCTTCTATAAAAGATTAATCATTTAGAAATTATGGCACATTATGATGCTGTTTTTATGGCATCAAAAGTCTTCGGTCATACAAAAATCAATAGCGAAGTTAGAACTTAAATGAATCATGTAGATTTTTATTACATTGCTGTGACCTTGCAGGTTTGTGGTTTAAAGTGAATGTGGGGCCTCATTTATAAAACATTTGTACGCACAAAATTGGTCTTAAAATGATCGAATGGAAAATTCACATTTGAGTAGTGATTTATAAAAAGTGAATTTGATGTGAAAATGTGCACACGCTACAGACATTAGGGTATGTGATTTGTGAACATTGTGTTTTTATAAATCAATTGTACACAAATGCTGACAACTTAAGAACAAATTCAGAAATAAATATGTTTTAAGAAGTATGTTTTATTAAAGAGGCCTCAGGGGTTCAAACTAAACTCATTTAACAATCACACATCTGCCTGTAGATGTCACTGTATCTGTGTTTTAACTGAGGTTTGTCTTAAAACTGCTACAAACATGGTTTTACTAAGGGTTAAGCCAGGAATACTGTAGCTGAAGCACATTTTCAGCTCAGATATTCTAGTATTCCATATTTTAAAAATTGTGTGATGAAAAATCTAATTTAGCTAGGTTTGCACTTACCCCAAAAGTATTTGATTAGCCAAGATGTTTGTATTCTAAATTTTGCTTCTTTAGTCTTGAACTGGAACTACAAGGCTAATATTGCTAACCAACACTACACCTCAATAGTCACCCATTTAGGCTAAATTATTTCTGTAAAAAATATATCTGCAAAACATCTTTCAACCCCTTCAAACCACATTCAGGTTTTCATTAAGGTCACATGGATTTATTAATGTGTTTTCAGATACAGTACATTATTATTGAGTGTTTTGTTTTAGTTTGACAGTCTCTGATGTAATTTGATAGTACATCCAATTTAGCAGCGGTTTAGTCACAGATCAGTTAGACTCATACTGGTTTTGATCAGGTTTAATTTAACGTGCAGCTGGGCATTAAACCCCAGAAGAGTGTGGTTTAGCTGGACCTTTGTTAAACTGAGACTAAACCTCTGCTAAGCTAATGACAGAGCAACATTTTGTAGCTAGCCCAGCTCTACCACATCTGTTTCCTGTATTATAAACAGTAGGCACTACAAAATAAGAAAACTGCTTTTTTAAAGATTTTGTTTGACCTTGTGTTTACAGGCTGCGAGCCTATTCCCCTGCGTTATCTGGAGTGGAGTCATGCTGAGTCCATTGTGGCGGTGGTCTTCTCTTGCCTTGGCATCCTGGTGACCAGTTTTGTCACCTTTGTCTTCATCCTGTACAGAGACACACCTGTGGTCAAGTCCTCCAGCCGAGAGCTCTGCTACATCATCCTGGCTGGGATCTTCCTTGGTTACATCTGCCCCTTCACACTCATAGCCCGGCCCACGATAGCCTCTTGTTATCTGCAGCGCCTGCTGGTGGGCCTCTCAGCTTCCATGTGCTACTCAGCCTTGGTCACAAAGACCAACCGCATTGCCCGCATCCTTGCAGGCAGCAAGAAGAAAATCTGCACGCGAAAGCCACGCTTCATGAGCGCCTGGGCTCAGGTGGTCATCGCCTTCATCCTCATCAGTGTGCAGCTCACGCTAGAGATCACGCTCATCATCCTGGAGCCGCCAGAGCCCATCAAATCCTACCCCAGCATCAGGGAGGTCTTTCTGATCTGCAACACCAGCAATATGGGCATGGTGGCACCACTGGGCTACAACGGCCTGCTCATCCTCAGCTGCACCTACTACGCCTTCAAAACCCGCAACGTTCCGGCCAACTTCAACGAAGCCAAATACATCGCCTTCACTATGTACACCACCTGCATCATCTGGCTGGCCTTCGTGCCCATCTACTTTGGTTCCAACTACAAAATCATCACCACCTCCTTCTCGGTCAGCCTGAGCGTGACTGTGGCCCTGGGCTGCATGTTCACGCCCAAGATGTACATCATCATCGCTAAGCCGGAGCGCAACGTGCGCAGCGCCTTCACCACCTCTGACGTGGTGCGCATGCATGTGGGCGATGGCAAAATTGCCTGCAGGAGCAACAGCCTGCTCAACATGTTCAAACGCAAGAAAAATGCCCCTGGAAACGCAAAGTAAGTCTGCTTTACTCAGCAGCAGCAGGATAGCCTCTCTCCATCCTGTTGCGTGAGTACCAGCACCCATGGGCCCAATCCCTTAATTCATGCTTCACTTCAGACCTCTAGGTCATGCCATTTCCAGGGCACCTTTCAATTAACAGCTTCTGCAGACATCTCTGATTTTGCAGGTCGGTTGCAATTAAAAGCCGCACACCCAGGGGTGTCTCAGCAACAGGGCCGAGAGAGGCTCTGCTCCATATATGCTGCTATATAGATGCTTAATCACCAATGACATGAATCATGGCTGAAATAGCATCACAGTGCTGTGCAAAAGTCCAAAAACAGTTCAAAAGACTGTCCTTCATTTATTTAATTTCCAGGCATATTAAGTACAAATTAAATACAAATTATTCATTATTCAGGAGATATTTCAGAGGAGATTAGATATAAAACAGTCCACTTGCTAAATGAAGGGGAAAGTCAAAGGAAAATAAGTGGAAGAAATAGGAATTTTCAAAACTGGAGTTGAAAAACTATTAAAGATGTAGAGAAAATGGGACTCCTTACAACGGTGCAAGACCTGGTAGACCACCAAAACTGTCACCATTAGATAAACAGTACTCAAAGATTTCATCTTTGAGAGAGAGGCGAAAATCCTTCCTCTCTTGCTTCAGATCTGAAACAAATCATAGATGTTTCTTTCCATCCTTCCACTGTGAGATGACAACTCAATGCTAGTCTGGAAAGATGTGTAGCCATCAATTAGAAAACAAAACAGAGAAAAAGGATGAAAATTTGCAAATCAAACAAAGAAGTGTCTGGTGTTCTCAGAACAATGGACTGACACCCCAGAGCCCTGACCTTTCTTGGACTGTGAAAAGCTTAAAGTGCAACCAACTTCTAAGACTGAACTTTCCTTGCAGATTTCTTTGAAAAACTGAAAGCAAGTCTCCTGAAAAGAATGGAAGTAAATAAAGGCAAAGTGTGGAGACTTGTAATACTGAGTAAAAAATATATAATATTTAGTTGTTGAGAATTGCTATGTAATTGTCTGATAAATACATGTTTTCTCCTTTTTTCCTGACACTGAAAATTGAATGACTTTATGGCTGTTTTAAGTGGAAATTGGTCTTTGACTTTTGCACAGTACTGAATGCATAAAGAAACAATCATAGTATGCTTAGATGCAATATTATAATATCAGAAAACAAATATTTAGCAAATATTTGTTTATAGATTCAGTGATATTTGCTCAAGATGAACAGCAATTTTTTACATGAACCAGAAATGTTGTTCTTGTGTCCACTTTTCTCGGTTCCTGTGAAATAACAGCCATCTTTATTTTGTTCATAGTTCTAATGGAAAGTCTGTGTCATGGTCTGAACCAGGTTCAAGACATCCTCCGAAAGGAGAACACATGTGGCACAGACTGTCTGTGCATGTGAAGAGACAGGAGGCCGGCTCCAATCAGACGGCTGTCATCAAACCTCTAACTAATACCTACCATAACACAGGCCTGGAGTTTTCAGACCTGAGCACCAAGACTCTGTACAATGTGGCTGAGGAGGACGAGGGGGACCCGGTCAGGTACAACCCCCCGGTCAGCCCTGCTTTGATTACTCACAGGCAGTCGCCTGTCCACGAGTCTTTGAAGGAAGTGGCTTTGGAGCCGGAGTTTTATAACCCTGAACCGCAGAAAAGCATTCCTACCCAGCATGTTATTGCAGACCACTTTCAGGAGGTGGTGAGCACGTTCAGTTCCAGCGTGACTGATCTGGATGATATCATTAACTTGCCTGAGCCAGACAGTGGGCTGAGGCCTCCGTATCAGCCCCTCATCCTGCAGACCCAGCCGTCCCCTCTGCCCATGCATCTGGGCACTTACTCTAAGGAGCCCATCTCTCCACTGGAGGAGGAGATGGAAATGGAGAATGAGCAGTTTGGTCTCCTCCATGGCTACATGTACGACAATGCGCAAATCCATGATGAGGAGGAGCTGGTGCAGATCAAGCTAGCCATGGAGGACTCGCTGGCTCTTATGCCGCCCTCTCCTTTTCGGGACCCTATGGGCTCAAGAAGTCACATTCCCAACTCCCCTGTGTCTGAATCCATCCTGTGCACCCCACCCAGCGTAACGTATGCGTCAGTTATCCTCAGAGACTACAAACAAAGCTCCTCTACTCTGTGAAGAAGCTTTATGAAAAACCCCTTAAATGTGGGCCTCATTACAATATCATTCCACCTGTTATCATATTTGTCTTTGGAATGTAAAATAACAGCCAAAAATCTGTGCAAAAAAAACTCATCATCCTGTAAAAAAGAGGTTTTTATTTCGTTGTGTCCATTTAAATCAACTTTAAACATTGACTAAGCATACTTGAACACATTTGGAATATATGCTTGTGAATGAGGGATTTTTCAGTATGTAGATCATCAGCCTAATTATTTTACATTGTTTGCTTGTGTTGGATTTCATCAGATCATCAAGAGTTTCATGGATATGTACCAATGTAGCAGTAAATGAGGATATAGATGTTAATTTTGAAATGCTGAAACTCTAGCCAGTAGAATATGTGGATGAAACATGATTAACATTATCAATGCCATTTTTTTTCAAATTCAACATTAAAACTGAAATAAGGAAATGTACCAATATTAGATATGTTGCCATTATATTCTTCAGGCAGCACATATTGAACATTTTAGTGTTAATAATAATATATGCAGTAACATAGGTATTAAGAAATTATATATGTATATATATATATATATATATATATATATATATACATAGCAGATGCTTATTAAAATGTAGCAAAGCAGATGATGTTTAAGTGCCAATGTGTCAGTGATACGACATCCTCATTTGTCAATGCATTTTTGTAGATTTTTTTAATCAACATTTTTATGTGAGATGTGTGCGTGTTTACAATATAATGACAACCCTGTACATAGTAACTTGGATTTTCCAACCTATTTATTGTTTTTAATGAATACATTTAGCCAAAAAATCATGTCAGAATTTTAAAAAAGGCAAAAAACATAGATTTAAATGGTCATAACCTCAGTACAAAACCCACATTTTGATAATCTCAAACATTACATTGTGTTCACAGATTGCTTCTTGTTTTCTTCTTTTTTCTTTTTTCGTTCTTTCTTATAAATAACAAAGTTTTCCGCTGTTGGACTGTGGGCTTTGTTATCTGTGATGTGCTCTACATACAGTCAATAAATTATAGTATTATAGTATTTAAGGAAGCACTTCTGCTCAGCAGGGCCACCGACGGCAATTTCTCCAGAATGTAGCTTTAATCAAAAATATATGGTAAAGATTCAGCCTTAGCAGCATGTCATGTGTTTCAGAACATAGACAGAAATAACGTATAAGTTATGGCCATTTACGTTGTACTTGTAATGATTTAAAATTTGTTCTAAAGTGTTAAGTGAATATGCAATATTGTGTTGTATTTGGGTAAATTTTAGATAAATACTTATTATTGGTGTGTAATTATTTTCTATTTAAGTACAATATTCTAATATTGCCAGCAGCATTCAGTAGGCTAGAACATTCATAGCTGTAACAAAGAGCTGTGCAGTGCACTATACACTGTAAAAAGTGAAACGTCAGGTCAACATGAAATTTTAAATGCAAAAATTTTAAATGCTCTCAACACCTGAAGACCTAGTTTAGTCAAAAGATCTCAGAAAGATGTAGCTGCCTCCTTATAAGATGAAATTGCTTGAACTGGGTGGATTTTTACTCAGTTCTTCCCCCAGTTTAGTCATTGCCAACTTCCACCCACAGTCTGTAACTCTCCCTGTCATACAGTGCACCCAGCCTGGCAGAGGGGATAAAGGCTCCCTCCTCTCAGGCCGAGGGTGTATTTAGTGACTGTGGGGCTTGAATCTGGAATTTTTTACTAGTAATTTTAGTAAATGAAATAATCTCATTATATTGGCAGATAATTTTGCTTGTTTTTGCTTGTTTTAAGAAAAAAAAATACTTGAAACACAATTATCTGCCAATATAGTGAGATAATCTGGTACAGAGTAACACAGAAGTACAGTAATGAGTAAGAAGATGACTTTTTCTGGGATATAACACACAGCCATTACATTTTGAGAGAAGTAATCAGTAATGAATTTGTTTGAGTAATTACCCCAACACCAAAGCTATGTGTACTAACAGTAACACTACAGGGAATAGTACATTAACAACATGGAATAGTACATTATAACCAGGAATGGGTGTGTGAGACTGCATTGACATTACAGAATATAATCACTACAATCGTAAATTAGTTCAAGTATACCCAGAATGTATTTTCATGCTGTCCTAGCTGCCTACCTTTGCCTAATACAAAGACCTCTCCTGTCTCAGACTTCCTGTCATGGAAGGCAGAAGGATCGCTGGGATGTGAACTCATGACCGCTTGATGATTAGGCAGTTGGACAGTTGTGCTGTTCAAGAGCTTCAAAACTGCTTCTATTTGTGTGTCCAAGACAGAATGCAAAGGTGAATTAACTTAGAACAGCATGAGCTGTGCTTGTAAAGTTGCTTATGCTCAGACAGAGAGCACTGTGTGCCCTAAAGAATCTGTGGTCAGACAGCCAGAGATTGTGAGTTCAAATCCCTCTGAAACATCGACTCTCTGCGGTCACTCTCTTCCCCCCCAGGCTGGGAAAACTCTGTGATAGGGGGAAGTTATGGTCTGTGGGTGGGAACTGGCATTGACTAAAATCTGAAATCCTAAAATCCATCAAAAAAAGTGAAGCAATTTCAGCAGATAAAGAGACAACACAGTGAATTTTCTGAGTAAGCTCAAATTAAACTGTTTTTACGGACCTAACTGCAGTACTACAAAAGTAAGTTGAACCAAGAACTAAGCTGAAAAAAGAAAAAGAAAAAGCTGTGCAGAAGGACTTAAACTTTCAAGTTCACCTGACTTTTATTTTTACACTGTACTATTATGTTGGATTAATGGGTTAGCAAACTAACTTCAGCTTCTATTTAAGGTAACTCTGACCTGACCTAACTTTGGTTTAAACCAAAGTTAGCTCACAACCCATAAATCCAGCTTTACAGTATAGCTTATCCTCCCATTTCCTACTGCACTGTTAAGTAGATGTACTGAAGCTATAAGCTATGAGAAACTTTGTATTTCTTTAAATAGTTAACATAAGTACTGTATGTTTGAGAGTTGTTTAGTTTGCACACGTTTAAGAACATGTTTTCTTAGTTACGATAAATTAAATACTGTATGTTTTTGTAAATATGTTCTCATTGTTGTTATTGTACATTCATAAATTGCAGTCATTTCTAAATACATTCCATGTTACTGGTTGAGTACAGCAATCACAGAAACCCCATGTGCACAAAGAACATGTACATTTTGCTTCTTTTCTTCTGTCGTACTGTCCCAGTCAAGGGCACAGCCCCGCACCTACAGCAGTTCACTTGCAAAACAAGTTACGTTTACTTTACAACACCTATAAATAGGCTAGTCTGCACACTTTACATGATAACATTGGGCCATAATGTCCCGTATTTTCCTCAGCAATGGACTTTGGGCCTCATCCATATCAGTCATCCACATCGGGCTTGTAAATTCTCTGTTTTACTGTTTTTCATTAGTAGAACACAGTGTCCACATGTAAAGGTGTCCAGATTATGGAAAGCAGGCTGGATAAAGAAACAGGACGCAGGAGTTTATCTTCACATTTTATCACTTATGGAAATCACACTTAAGGGAAAATGTCAGGCGGCTTAAAACAAGGATCTTTTACTGAACATGTTTTCAAAATTCTGGTGATTGGAGATTCTGGTGTTGGAAAAACTAGTTTTGTCCATCGTTACATCAGAAATCATTTCTCAAATCAACTGAAATTAACAGTTGGAGTGGATTTCTCAATGAAGATGATTGAATGGGACAGTAAGACGCTGGTGAGATTACAACTGTGGGACATATCAGGTAACTCACTGATTCACTAATGTGCATACATGCTTTATAAACTGTAAATTAATTAATGCTTCATGTAAATTAATTAATGCTTCATCTCAATATGAGAACAGTCCTTCAGCTATGGGTATTAATTAATTCATATAATTATTGGCAAACTTCTAATCAAATATACAGTGCTGTGCAAAAGTCAAAGACCACCCTTTCATCTTTCATTTCATTTCCAGTCAAAACAGCCATTAAGTACAAACTATTCATTTTTCAGAGTGATGAAAAAGCATAAAACAGAAAATTACACAGATGTCTCCAACATGAAATATATCATGTCTATTTAATATCTTAAAACCAACTAGTTACAGCTGTGTCCTCCCAACAAAAGTTGTTCCCAAAGCTCTCACTAGACACTAACTCTCACACAAGCAACTACCTTAATACACTTTAGCTGCATTCAGATTTCTTTCTCATGTGCGTCTAAAATGCACATGAGTAGGAAATGACAGAAATGACGCTATGGCTGATGCTATGGCTGATGCTATGGCTCTGAAAGGACATGTAGCTTTCAAGAAGCCATTTCTGAGAAAAGGAAAGGAAAAAAAAGAAGACAATTTGCACTACAGCACTGACACTAGAAATTTGAGATGTGCAGTAAAGTTTTACAGACTGATGAGTCAAATTTGTCAGTGGAATTACTTGGACTGTGAGAAGCAGAAAATGCTATCAACTTGAGTTAAGTCTCCTGAAAAGAATGAAAGCTGTAATAAAGGCAAAAATGGACTTACTAAATACTTTGATATTTATTAAAGTCCATTTATATAGTGATATTATGTTTAGTTGTTGAGACTTTTGTGCCATTTTCTCTTTTTCTGCTTTTTTTCCTGACATATATCACACATATCATGCTTGTGTGTGATTTAAGCACCAATAAAAAAAATGTAGTATTTTTTTTTATAGATTTTATAGATTTAACAGATTTTAAGGATCATGACATTGCCTTTGCCAGTAAAAGGTTTTGGTTTCACTTATGAGCTCCCAACTACATTCTCAATACAAGAGCCAGCGTACTCTCTCTGAATGTTTTCTTATAATTTTGAGACGTTGTTTGCAATTATATCAATTTGAGTACATTATTAAGCTGCATTAAGGATTTCACTTGAGAATGTTCAAAGCCTATAAAATATTCACTGTTTTTTCATGCACTGTAGTATCTCAGTAGCCTCAATTTGTGTCACGTTCTCTTGGTGACTCACATAATCACAGAAATGTCACAAGGCAAAATTTATTGTCTCTTTTGTGGTTTGTGCACACAGTCAGTCTGCGATTAGTTTCGGTTCCACCAGGAAGCTCTAACATATCTACAAATCACATCATGATAACTAAGTTTATAGACAGTGTTATATTAATAAATGAGGATGCTTAAAACATACATCTACACATTAAATTCCTGTCTTTAGAGTAAGAAATGTTCTAATATCCTCCCTGTGCTCTTCAGTGTGTCTCACATACAAGTCTTCAAACTGATTAGTTTTCTCTATGCTTAGATATCCAGTATGGAGGAACATGCTGTTATTTTCTGAGATCAGTCTTGAAGGTTTGTGTACTGAAAACATTGAGTTACGCTTAGCGTGACACTGGGGTGTCACTAGAGATTAATGGATAGGGGGCTAAGCCTGTGCTAGGGGAGTCTGGTGGCATGGCTTCAAAATGTTCATCATGATCTTTTAGAGCAGGAACAGCCAGAACATGTATCAAAAATGGCTATTTGGTCAAACTGGCACACAGTAGATCCGTCTCTTTGAAGTTTATATTAAGCACAGAGCTAGTATGACTTAAAGACTACGTCCATCCACTTACAAGCACAGATCAAGCAAAGGTAATGAAGTCAAGCAATGCCATCTTCTCTCTCTTAGATAAACTGCAAGGTCCTAAAAATATTCTTCAAATACAGAGATTAGATCAGTTCAGCCTCAGCTGGTGCCATCAGAAAGAGTGTGAATTTGCTCTGTAGGCATGTTTATTAACTTAGGTGACAGAACTTCATGGTCAGGGTGATTTTTATATTTAGTTTTTTTATATTATTTATAGTAAATTTAGTGTTAATTTTAACTTTAATCCTTAAACAACTCTCCATGACTATCTTCTTGATATCACGCTTCCTGTCGACACAGCCTTTAGTACTCCTCACTCCCACCGGCCGACACTGTCAAGTCCATGAACTATATCCCAAGGGAGATCACATGACGCCTACATGTACTGCCTCCAAAAATCACAATCCCCTTCCTCGCTCCAAGACACCTGAGTACTTCTATCTGCAAGCGTCTGACTAGTTCTTGGTGCATTACACTTGATCACTAATTTCCATCAGATCTGCTCTTTCAGCCCTGTCAGTCTCCTTCAGCCTCTTCCACTCCTTCTCTTCCTGTGTTTAGTAATGCGTCAATTTATTAAACTTAGGTTTACAAGAACTCAGGGAAATAACGAGATCAATCAATTACATTTTTACCGGTAAAAATCTTCTCGTCTGATTAGCCCAGAGGTCAGCGACCCAAATGTTAAGAAGAGCCATTTTGTCCTTTCAGCAAAAATCAAACCACCTTGGGAGCCACAGTGTTTTATGTCCATTTTGCCATCTTGGCTGTAAAGTCTCAGAATGTGCTAATGCCCTTGTATAGGCTAACAAATTTAATATAAACAAAAATGCAGACTTACTTTAGACTTACTTTGCTCTGCTTTGTTTCTTTGTTTATAACTGGTTTAGCTCAGTTATAGCCGCTTTTCTTGCGTCTCCAGCAGAAAACTTTTCCAAAAGCATAATAGTTTCTTGTAAAATCTCAACGTTCAGTTTTTTACGAGGCTGAAGTTGCTTCTCATTCGGCAGCGTCTGGTTTGAATTTTCACGTTCCACATTAAATGGTGCCTGAGGCACTAGAATGTAACTGCTGCACCATTTAAGGTGGAATGGGAACATTTGGACGAGAAGTTGACTTCAGCTTCGCGGATTTTTAGTTTTTGACAGTTTCTCATTGCAGATAAAACATATAAGTCAATTTGTCTCTAAATTATCGATGTTTGTCTTAAATCTTTCTCTTTGCCGTTTCTTTAGCTACTTGCTAGGCGAGACTTTTCTGTGTTGCTATGGTGACCAGCAGTCTGTGTGCCAATCTTCAGGGTTAAATGGTGAATTAACAGTTATACATTTACTCCAATGTTTAAGACAATTTATAGTTAAAACCGTGTTAGACTGATCAGCAGAGCTTTATTTTACTTCAAAGGAGGATTATTTTATTTTTACCTAAAAATCTAATTCTGCTGTGGAACTGCAATAGGGCAGTAAAAGAGCTGCATGTTGCTCCGAAGCCACATGTTGCCAATCCCTGGACTAGCCTTTAACAAAGCTGCTGCCTCTTAATTTCTACCTACATGTTGAGGAATTCAGGAATATAAAATTGCATTATGATCAACACTATATTACCTTTTCACATTAACGTACTGCAAACAAAAATATATGGCAAATACTGGTGTTAATGTTTCAAACTACTTAAGGTAAATATAACAGCAAAGAAATCTCTCTCGCTTGTTTGCACTCTCACACTTTCACTATTCAGTTTCTCCAAATTTTTAAACTAGTTGGCGTGTCAGCTAGCTAGCTAACGTTAGTGTTAGCCTAACCGTTTTTCTTTACCTTGCGTAAACCCAACGTTAACTAGCTAAAAAGAAACCAAGTAAAACCCTGACATCCAGCTATACTGACCATAATTTGCCACAAATCCATATCGTAGTGGATATATTCACTCTGTGACTACTTACTGTTTTACTATATATATTACAGACTTTATTTTAGTGAGCTTTTAGCCAAAATCCTGCCCCACAGCTTCAGCGGTTGCAGTGCAGTGCAGACCAGAGACTGCCGAGGTCTGATAGGACTGGCTCACAACTTCCAAGATGTGATATGATTGGCCGAGCCGGGGGTTATACACATAGCTCAGCAGAGGCAGCGCTGCAATAGAGCAGCAGGTTGCACCTCGCTATTACAGCATATTGTGTACGAGAAATTATATGTAATTTGAAGTAGTAATCTACATTGATTATATTATTATAAATAATATTTACAGGGCCTAAACTGGCCTAGCAACGTCCATGGACTCCCAGCAGTCATAATTATGTACTGTTACATTGATTCTAAAATACTCAGTGATCTTATGATCAATGCAATGAATGCAGTTAGTATAATAGCTAAAACGTAGTTTAGTTCAGTATATAAAACAACTCCTGTCCTGGAGGGCCAGTGTCCAACTCTAGAATCTAGAGTTGTGCACTCCTAATATACAACAAAAAAGTGTATTATTCATGCTCAGTTCATGCAATTATTTATGGTCAAATTATTTTAATGGCTTTAGGCAATCAATTTTCTCAAAGCATTTGATTTACCTAATTTATTAGGTTTCATAGTGACACTGCATCTCAGTCATTTTAAGTTGAGATAAGAAAAGTTGTCCATCTGGTTGACCTGTCTTTTTACAATGTATTTCTTTTTTCACTTTTTTTAAGTGGTTTCTTTCAACAAGTGAAAATGAAAATAGGTAAACACATTTTATAGCTTCCGGATCTTTAAGTGCAAAATTATACACAGAGAATTTGGATTTTACATCAATATTGAAGATTCTTAAAGGTTCTGACAGTAAAATCAGACAGTGCTTGTGTCTTAACCTTCGCTTTTATTCCTGAGCCTGGATCCAGACTGTTCTCTGCTGCACAACTCACCATGCTGACCACGACAAGACTTCAGCCTGATGATTCAGGGCCATGCTTGCTTACCATTCATACTTACACAGTTTTTTTAGTACCATTTAGTCATTCAAAACTTAAGTAGTTTGTCCTCAATTAACTTTCTAGTGATTTACTATAAAAGTAAATATTTAATTAAAAATGTTTTCTTGTTGTTGTCTCCCTGAGGTCATGAACACTTTAAAAATATGAGCAGAGTGTATTTCAAAGGAGCAAGAGGAGCACTTGTTGTATATGACATGGCAGAGGAGTCAACACTGGAGGGGGCACTGAGCTGGAAACTTGACCTTGATTGCAAAGTTGTGACAGATAACGGTCGTCCAATACCTTCAGTTCTACTTGCAAATAAATGTGACCAAGACAAAGCTCGCTCAAAGGAGCCCTGTCTTATGGATAAACTGTGCAGAGAAAAAGGCTTTGCTGGATGGTTCAAGGTATCTGCTAAGGTGAGTGGAATCTAATCGAAACATATTAAGTTTGCTTTTAACATCAACCAGGTTAATTGGCAAGGCAAACACAGAAAACATACGTTTTCCCATTTAGGAAAGTATTGAAAAAATCCATCTAAGACAAATGTAAACTGTTAAATAAATATATATCAAACAAAACATTATCATCAACAAAACACTCAGACTTTGGGGCTGCCGCTGAGACTGCTGAAGTGTTTCAGGCACAAAATCAATAAGATGTATTGTGCAAAGCTTTTGTGCATTTGCTTTAATAATCACTGCAGCAACCTCTCCATTTATTTTCCGCTCTTTTTTTCTTTGTGTGTGAACTTCAGGAGAACGTTAATGTGGATGAAGCTGTTAACTTCCTTGTGAAGCACTTGCTGTGTGAGGAGTCACCCCCTGAAGAAGGCCAGAGTGGGAACATTACCCTGAGGCAAACACCAGAAAAGAGGCCCTCTAAATGCTGTTAACAGCAGAAGTTTAGGGCTTGTTTAATATTAGGCAAAATTCATTGGACCTTCACTGGACGTTCATTGGGGTAGTGGGGGTAAAATTCGGGATGGCTGCTCATAGTGGTCCTGAAATATTTTTAAAATGACTTTTCATCATTACTGAGATATTTTACTAACACATTCATAACAGCATACAAATCAGACTAAGAATTTCAGTAACATACAATAGAAAAACTGCCTTTGTATTAAAAATTGCCTTTGTAACTGAATATTTATCAGAACATCTGTGCTATTACTATTCTTATTCATACAATAGTTTGTTTTTGTGTTTTAATATTGACATATAAAGCTGATGTCATATTAATAAAGCAACTCAAAATGTATGTGTACTCTGTACCTTGTATTGTATCTGAGCAATACCGTAACAAGGCTGCTCCCCTTTTTGCCTGACCGAATTTGCACCCCTGGATGTGTATATACTAAGCCTAATATGCCCCTTTCCATTGCTGTTTTATTTCCTTTTAGTGTAGGATACATGATGCGAATCCTGAAGTAGCTACTCTAACATGATTGAACAGTATTTCTGTAAAAATACTCTAACAATATCAGGCCAGTGCAAATCATAAATACATTTTATTTAATATACCCAGTGAAATTTACTTTCAGATATACTTCCGCAAGTAAACTTCCTTCCCTTCTGCCTACTTATATACAGTTCTGTGCAAAAGTCAGAGACCACCCTTCATTTATTGAATACCCAGTCAAAATGAACGTTAAGTACAATTTGTTCTTTTTTTAAGGAGATTAGATATGATATCATTCACACTGTATAAGGAAGGGGAAAGTCAAAAGTAATAATGTGGAAAAAAACAGTTTCCACAACTGGAGTTCAAAAAATGATTAAAAGGTACAAAGAAAATGGGACCCCTAACAACTGTAAAAGACCTGTTAGACCACCAAAACTGTCCCCATCAGATAAACAGAACTTAAAACTTTCATCTTTGAGAGAAAGGAGAAAATCAAGCTCCACTCTTGTTTCAGATCTGAAAAATCCACAGGTGTTTCTGTCCATTCTTCTTTTGTGAGAAGACAGCTCAACAATATGAGTCTGAAAGGATGTGTAGCTGTCAAGAAGCCTCCACTGAGAAAAGAAAACAAAGAAAATTTGCAAATGGACTGACCACCCCAGTCCAGATCTCAGCATCACTGAATGTGTTTTTTTGATTATTTGGAATGTGAGAAACAGACTATGCAACCAACTAATAAGACTGAACTTTGAGGGTGTTTAAAAGTAATTGTCTGTTAAATATGTTTTCTACTTTTTTCCTTGACAGTGAAAAATGAATAACTTACACTTGTGATAGCTGTTTTGACTGGAAATGAAATAAATAAATGATAGGTGGTCTCTTGTACTTTTGTACAGTACTGTATATGTATACCTGCATTCTGCTTAGTTTATAAAACCCAATAACATTGACAAAAAAGCTTTTATTTTTTATTATTAAAGACTTTCGCATATTTAGATTTGACTGCAGCAATTTCAGAGGAAACACAAGAACGAAGTGCATCAGTAAGTAAAACTGCCTTACCCTTTTTATTCAATAGAAACAGTTTTTGTGTGATAAATTCTTCAGCAAATGATGATGTGAGTTATATTCACCTGATTTAATGATGATGCCTTGGGTGTGGGGGACATGCCGAGTTTCTAATAAACACCTCCCTGGTGATTTCTTTTATTTCCCTTGTTAATCTGCCAGCAGCTCACGGGCTAATTAACAGATCAGCATGGCGGGAGCTCATTGGTGGCGTCCTAATATGCTGCTACTGCTGCTGCCTAAAACAGTTTAAGCAAACTATTATCAAAGAGCTGCCTTATGTAATACTTCCTGTGATAGTTTCCTATTTAAATATTACCAAGAAATCCAAAAACACAAGGCAGGAGGAAGACATTTTTCAAGCAGAAACAGAGGGAAAAAGTATCTATGACATCAGAAACTGCGAGAACTCTGCTGAATGTGCTGACAACATGCCAGATGCACTACTAGATTGTGTGTATATATAGGCAATAACTACCAGCTTGACCCACTTCTGGGCTGTTTTACTGAGGAAGTGTTTGGAATTGCAACATACTGTTGCAGCCCCTAGAGACCTGTGCTATATTGAGTGAACTACATTGGATTAAAGAGTTTGTATCAGTTCTGACCAGCAGTATAACATGCTACTGCACTCTGCTCCAATCTGGCGTCTTATGAAGGATAGTTGTTAGTGTGCTACATATTCCTAAGGGATTTTCTCAGGCATAGTTAAATCCATGTAGCGGAGATGTGATGATTGTTTCTAACGTACGATATGGTCCTCTAGAGGCCCATAAAAGAATTACGTACCATCTGTTTGGGTGTGTAGATGGGTGTAAAAACAAGACTGCTCTGGCTCTGGGCCCTGAGTGCACTGCTAGAATATAACAACAAAGAGGAGAGGGCTAAAATCACATAACTAAACCTGCCACACTGTTCTCGAAAGCGCTGACTCTAGGCCTTTAATGTCACATTTACTTGGCATGCACTGTACCCAGGGCATGATTTGACTGAGGGATTCAAATGGATGCCATGCCCTGTTAAAAAAGGACAAAAATAATCCTTGTGAAACTGTTATTGCCCCTGTCCATCCTGTTGGATGAATGTCATTATGTAAATTCTTATAGATGTCAAAAAGCAAATGTCTGTTCAATTAATCTTTTACCCATTGTTACTAATTACTAAGTTACTCATTGTTCTATATAAATGTAGTGCATATGCCAACTGGCCACTTTATTAAAACCACCTTTCTTGTTTTTACACTCCATTTTATCAGCTCCACCATATAGGCTCACTTTGTCATTCTACAATTACAGACTGTTGTCCATCTGTTGCTCTGCATACTTTGTTAGCCCCCTTTTAATGGTCAGGACCCACTGGACCACTACAGAGCAGGTATTATTTGGGTGGTGGATCATTCTCAGTGTTGCACTGGTACAAGTGGATCAGATACAGCAGTGCTGCTGGAGTTTTTAAAACACCTCAGTGTCGCTGCTGGACTGAGAATAGTCCACTAAACAAAAATACCCGGCCAACAGCGTCCTGTGAGCAGCGTCCTGTGACCACTGATGAAGGACTAGAGCATGACCAACACAAACTGTGCAGCAACAGATGAGCTATTGTCCCTGACTTTACATCTGCAAGGTGGACCAACAAGGTAGGAGTGTCTAATAGAGTGGACAGTAAGTAGACACAGTGTTTAAAAACTCCAGCAGCACTGCTGTGTCTGATCCACTCAGACCAGCACAACACACACTAACACACCACCACCACATTAGGGTCACTGCAGTGCTGAGAATCATCCACCACTGTGTGGTGGTCCTGTGGGGGTCCTGAGCAATGAAGAACAGGATGAATGGGGGCTAACAATGTATGCAGAGAAAGAGATGGACTACAGTCTGTAATTGTGGAACTACAAAGTGCTCCTGTATGGTAAGTGTTTTTGCACTTTCCATGTATGTACAGTATGAACTGTGGAGTGAATGGTACATTTTGAAACTTCAGTAGTTTTTATGTACTACATCAAACTATCCTTTTTAATGACATGGGACCTTTAAATGTTGTTCAAAGAGACGGGTCTTCAGACAGTGTTTGAAGACAGCGAGGGACTCAGCTGTCTGGATAGCCAAGGGAAGTTCATATCGCCACCTGGGTGCCAGCACAGACAAGAAAAGATTATTATTATCTCGCTGCCTGACTCTTGATCTAGGCTGTTCTGAGAGACTAATGATGGAAAAAAATACCTTTAATAATAAAACACTACTCACCAGTGAGAGGATTTGAGCACTCATGGATTCAGAAGATTTAAAGACATGCAGTGACTCATCTCTGTCATGACTCAAACCTGCCATTTTTAAATGAATCCCAGTGAGAGTTAATTGGGTTACTTTATTAGTGGGGATTGGAAATGATCAAAAGTGTTTATGGTTTCTAGGACGTTTAGTTAATGACTACGCAGAAGTGCACTCATTCTTAGCATTAGCATTAGGCAGCAGTATGACACATCTGCCCAGGATGGCATTAAAGGCCAGTATTACTGCTTATTTTATATTGTTATTGTTATTTGAAGTGCTGGGCAAAAGTCAGATACCACTGGCAGGGATATTCTTTCTTGGTTACATTTTCTGCTTCTCATGATCAGAGTAATTCCAATCACAAATTTAGACTCATCAGTCTACAGAACCTTACTTTAGTGCTCAGATGTCCAGATTTGGTTCTTTTTTGTGTATTTCTTCTTTTCAGTAACAGCTTCTTGAAAGCTACACATCCTTTCAGACCTACAGTGTTAAGTTGTTTTCTCACAGTGGAAAGATGGACACCTGAGTTTTTCAGATCAGCAAGAATGGAGTTTCCTATCGCTCAAAGATGAAAGCTTTAAGGACTTTTTATCTGAAAGTAACCATTTGGTGATTGTTAGGAGTCACATTTTCTCTGTATTCTAAAATAATTTTATTCTATTTATAAAACTCCACTTTTGGAAACGGCTGTTTTTTGTTTTCAGTTATTTTCCTCTGATTTTCTCCTTACTTATGCAAGTGTGCTATCTTTATAACTAGTCTCCTTACAAATATCTCCTTTTTTTATCCCATTTATCTGAAGGGGAATGTAGTGTCAGTGATACCTTTGGGAGCAGCTTTTGTTGGGAAGACACAGCTGTAACCCATTGGCTTTAGGATTGGAAGGATGGAAGAATTAAAGTGGCAGCAGAGTGCACAAAAGTAACGAGTAGATAAATCAAATAATAATCGATTTTATATTGTGCTTAGTGTTTGAGGCTTTTGTGTAATTTTCTGTTGAATGTATTATAGCGACCTGCTATTTGCACTGCCATAGAGGCTCTGGAGGCGTGGCCATGCATAGGGCCACGTGAAGAGGCTCATGGCGCATGCTCCATGTAAAAAGGGACATTTTATGTTATTAATGTCGTTGTTTGTTGTGTTGTGTTGTGTGTTATTTGCATTTTATTGTGTCTGGGAGTGTGGGTATTTTGTGTTGGGGGTTGTTCACTATGGGGTGGAAGCCTTTGGCTAATAGTGACATCCCCAAGTGCCATGTTATGTACCTTTCTGCTGGTGTTTCAATAAAAGTGCGCTACGCAAAGCAGAATCAGGGTCTCTTTTGTGTCTCTTTCTATGCTGACACCACAGTAATTTCTCGCTAATTTTTCTGATACTGTGAAATATATAACTTGTGCTTAAGGTCTCTGCTTTCTGAATGGAAAAGGACTGTAATACGACTAGTCATCATGTATTGCAACAGGATGCACATAAGCCAAATGTTTTCTCTTAGAGTCTTTTAGCTGACGCTCT